ACTATGAAAAAAGTTTTAACTATATGACATACAACTTGCTTTATGCAGGACACAAACAAACCGCAGACATCTGTAAAGACTCTCATTTGAAAAGTGTACTTGAAGCATTATACATCCAATAATAAACATAATGAAACCATTTCCTCATGCAACTTGTCTCAACAAATGGAAATAAACTAATTAAGTGATTTAGTCATTTCTATTAGGGCTTCACACTGCAAAAAAAAATAATTCTAAATCAGTATTATTCATCTACATTACTTGATAAGACAGTGCGTATGTATATATACACAACAATTCAGTTTTATTAAACTAAGAAAAAAATGCCAATACGGACACAAACGTCTTTTTTTTTACTGGAAAATCTAATAGAGCGCGGTGTTAGCTCAGGAAACTACATAGGCATATAAGCTGCTATCAGGTGAGGGGGTCAAAGCACTCTAACCACTTCCATTCTCCTATTAGACTGGACACACACACACACCATTACTGCTTGGTAAGCATGCTCTTAACCCTCACGCTCGCCTCAAGTATTAAGCATACTACTGTGCAACTTCTGGCTGTGGTCTTCTTCTGTTTCTGATTATCAAGGCTTTCAAGTCCTAAAGCTGTCAAAGACATCGTTGCTGAGAGACACTCAGTATAAACGTCCCGGGATTTACTACCACGTCTTCACATTAATACTGTTTTGCTTTAAAGACATTAGTAAAGTGTCTCTCAATATATCACTCAATGTGATGGTTCTATGGGGTGTCAATGCTTAATCTCTGTGCCATTCATCATGGAGCAAGAACCCCCATAAGGAACCATTACTGCCGAAGATAAAGTGTGTTTAATAAACTCAAGTAACTTGTCAAGTTGTCTGACTCACATTAATGTAATGTCACGGAATTATTGTTGGTGACTTTATAAATATTGACATACAGTATGCAACTCACTTTTTGAATCAGCATTCAAGTACTGTAGCTTGACAATGTTTTTAATTCGGTTTACAGTCTTAGAAAAACACATTAGCTAATAAAGGATATGCACAAAGACAATGCTAGCAACAAATTCAAAAGAACACATGAGAGAGCATGATGACACACCGAGTGTAACATCTGGAACGAGGCTCCCTCCCAACACAGTGGCAAAAGGATTATTAAGGATTTTTATGTTGCCAGGCAACCATACTGGGCGAAGGAATAAGATACTGCCAACCAGTAGTAATTCTACAACTTTATTCACTAGCCCATAGCTACAATAACTGTATCTTTAAATCCAAATCAAATTCAAAGCCTATAGGCAGGGGAAAAAAACAACCAGAAATGTGCATGGGGGGAAAGGGTATGACCTTCCAGGCAGGTGTGTTGAGACAAGTTGGATATAAACTCTATAGAGAGCCTAAGTCCCTCCCCTTCCGGTCGACCACCATGGGACCTTATTTCGGAAAAATATTGAATGGTAGTCAATGGCGAGAGACAACAAATATTTTGACCTGGTTTGAATTATGCCTTGAATTATTGATGTTTGTCAATTTAAAAGATACATTTTAAAGTAAAGAAAGTTGCAGTTTGATGTAAAACCGTTGAAGTATAAGACTGTGAAAATACGTAATTACAAAGACTACAAACCCCAAAGGTGCACATTTTCTCTCAATGAATGAAGCTAACTTTACTGAGGCTAATGTCTGTCATTGTTTCTATAGTCTTACGTTATAATCGTAACGTTACGCCGTCATGCCTGAGTGTTTTGTCCCAGACTGCACACACACGAGCAGCGGATCTCACTCGTTGTTTCGCTTCCTGGGAGATGTAGTTCATAGAGCGATTTCCACATAAAACTAAATGTTACTCTTCTGTTTTATGACAAACTGCGACGTTTTCGACTTTCAGAATTATCTTTTAAATTGACAAACATCATATGTGTAATTGAGGGCACAGTTCAGACGTAATAAAAAGATAAGTTGTCTCTCGCCATTGACTACCATTCATATTTTTTTCCGGAGGGGCGGGACTTAGGCTCTCTATAGGACAGTGGCCCTCCAGGACAGAGTTGGACACCCCTGACCCAAACAATTTTGTGAACATTTGATAGATGTCTCTTCAGTGTCTGTGTCCGTGTGTGCTAAAATGCTTTTCTTACTTAGCCTTTTAGTCTTGTTGTTTCCAGTCAATACGCACAACCGGCACATCCGGGAACTTAACTGTCAATTTTGTCCCCGCCCCCTTTTGAGAGAAACAAACTAGACTCCCCATAGACTTCAATACAAAATAACGGTAAAAACCAACGTCCATACAACCGACAGGCGAAAATACTTATATACACCATGTCAATTAATTATATGTCAACCCTGCATCATTCACTGGCTTACCTGGTGACTCGATGAGGTACAAGTAAATGTCCGGGTAAGAGACACCTCTGGCCACTGGGTGGGATTGTTACACCAATTTGACGCTGGGAGAATAAAGGGATATGTTTTTAAATTGGCCAAATTAAGTTTATGTATGTATCTTTCACGCTCTATGGCAGGCAGGGTGGACATATAATTACTTGACATGTTTTATATAAGTGATTTCTTAAGTTATTTACGCCTGTCGGCTGTGTACGGACGTTGGTTTTTGTCGTTATTTTGTATTGAAGTCTATGGGGAGTCTAGTTTGTTTTGTCCCCGCCACAAAATTGACAGTAAAGTTCCCGGATGTGCCGGTTGTGCGTATATAAAGTTACCATCGTAACTGACTCTGAGTATAAGTTACCTCGGGCTTGACTTACCCTGCTTCCTTGGGTTTGATACATCCCATTCTGAAAAGGAAAATCCAGAGTTTCCCTCATTTCAGGGTTAACATACTCAGAGTTTTAACTTAACCTCCTTTCTGAAACAGGCCCCTGGACTTCACCTTGTGTTTTTTTTTTTATGTTTATGCGACAGTCATCCATGAGGGGCTGCCGCTTTTACTTTCATGTAGTGTTTGTTTATTTTACGATTAAAGTTTCGTTGAACATTTCCAGGTCCCAACTCCTTCTTCCCTGAACTACTAACGTTGTTATTTCGAAACAGAAGTGCCCCACGAAGCTCGGTGCAGGCATTGTCCCGCTGAACTGAATGTGACCATTACCATACTGACAGTATGGGTTTCCATATAATTCACCCCGGAGTTCAATCTGCTTGTGATTCAAAATCAAAGCTTTTTAAACAGATGGCATGCCTATCTCTCACAGCATCATTTTCATTCTTGGCATCTGCCACGACTCTTATGGTTTGGAATGGTGTTTAGTCTATTTCTGACACAAGGAACTGAAATAAGATCCCTCACCATGGTACTACTCAGATCCCCTGTATTGTTTGCCTGTACCACCTTAATTAACCACATGAAAGCCTGTAGTAGCCATTTCACTTATCCTGAGATGTACGACTCCATATGGTTCTGTTAAAAAACAGAAAAATGCTTGTTTTACTTATTTATTAACCCTCACGCTGTGTTCGTTTTCTGAGAGACCGTTTTAATAGTTCTATACATGCTACATACTTATAAACACAATTCCAACTTGATCCACATTATTAAGTATATGTGATTTTATATTTGTCAACTCCAAATATAAAAGATTAATCAATGCAAGTTAACATGAAAATTTCTTTCAATCCAGCCAATTGTTGGATTTGTTTTGTTCATTAAATATATATTGAATTAGTTTTGTTTTTATAAGTTACACACATTGGCAAATTTAGTGAGATTTATCCTTAAAAACAAGAAAAATATTTAAATAGGGAAAACATACTGTAAGTAATGTAAGACAGTCTTTAAGTCAAATATACATATTAAATTAATTTGAAGGGAAAAGAAGAGGTTCATTTTTTACATATTTTTCACATACACATCTCTGGGACCTCAAACAAAGACAATAAAGTCAATCTCGGTTAATTAGTTATAATTAGTTGAAGATGGGGTAGGATTGAATATACTTCTTCCAATTCCTTTTCGGACATGTATAAGTTAAAAATTGTTTTTTTATTTGTTTTTTTCTACATGTTCGAAATAAAAAACTTCATTCATTCATTCAAATCTCGAAGGTTTAAATAACAGCAGAAATAAGAGTCAACAACCCATACCATCTTAACTTTAAATACAATAAAATGTTTCTTTATAGAGACTAAATGTGGAAATGAAAAGGGAATAAAATGTTAGAATTATATAATAAATTATATTAGGCTATAATAAAAAATTATGACAGAAAATAAACTCAGTAACTAAGACTGACAATCAATGTAATTATAGTTGTGCTAAAATTAAGCTACCCCAATAACGCACAGCTCTGCAAGCACTGGCCCCTTTGCTTTTCATTCATCCTTTCTACATCCACTTAACAATCCTCGCATATACGAATATGTTTTTTTTTAAGGCTTGGGTTTGTGAGCAATGCAACTTTAATTTTATTCAAAACCTGTGGTGTCTGACAACATGTGCGGACCGCAGTGCGCACAGACTGAAACACAATTCAATCGAGTCTTTTGTAGATAGAAACACCCGAGTGACTGACTGACTACTGCGATGAAACGTGTTTTGTAGATAAGCAGCGAGAAAAGCCACCACCTGTGCCACGTTTTGTTTTATCTCATATAGAAGTTCCTGAAGTCTAAGAACGCGTGTTAAACAAGCAAAATATTGTCATGTCATGTCCCACAGAACAGAGTGTACCGCGAGAAGGGTCAAAAGTTCCTCAGAGGTCTTAGGCTATCTTCTTTTTTCAGTGAACTGTCTTAAACATTGACGGTAGCATATTGCCGATTATGTGTATGGCTAGATTATTTAAATCTCATTCTTTATACTCCATTCAGTAATCAAACATATAGGCTACAGCACTTCTCATAAATCATCTGGCTACATTAAAAGAAATTATAATGACTGAGCATATGAGTAGCCTATAGGCTATAAGAGGTTAGCAGATCACATGGACGAAAGAGTAAAAGTTTGCAGGAATTAAAAGACTGTCGCTTATGAAGTGCCAACAAAAGATCTTACCTTCGGTTTCCACCCTGGAGTTTTGAAGGAAAAGGAAAATGACGGTTAATCCCAAAAGAGTGTGTGAAGGATATTTGAAGGATTTCATGCTGAAGCCTCACAGCGATCCTCCAAATAGGCTACACTACCGACCGGACAGACTTTTCCCAAGTCGCACTATTTCCAAAAGAAGATGAGCGTGTATTGCTTTCGTGGAGACGAAAGGTACTGTAGACCATCGCTCGGTTGGTCCAGCAGTTTCTGTCACCTGCTCCCGCGAACTGAGAGACTTGATGAGCTGGTGCAGAGCTCCGACATTATTCATTGACAATTTCGTCACTGCCGCGTGGTTAGGGATTATAAACACTAGTAGGCAAACTGTCTTTGCTTTTATTTTTACACTTTTATGAGAACGCCTATCCTGACACTGATCATGGGCGGCGATGAGCGAGCGGGTGCTTTAGACCCACCAAGAAAGACAAAGCACCCCCAAAAATAATGTCTTTTTTTTTTTTTTTTACAACTATGCTGATTATGAAAATTGACCAGCATGAGTATCATAATTTTTACATCTATGCTGATTATGAAATTTTAACAGCATGAATAAGATGTGCAAATATATCGGAAGATATGATGGGTTAGACATGATTTTGACCATGCTCTAATGTCTTTTAATTTGCATTTTTTTTAATACAATACATCTTGCATGTCACAAAGAACTTGTTTTTCCACCTCCTCGAATGAGGCGAGTCAAGTCAAGTCAAAATATTTTCAAGATTTGTTATCACAACATTTTTTCTTTTGTCAAATCAACTTAAATAATTTATTTAGTTGAGATAACTTACTATTTTGAGTTTCTGATAATTAAATTAATCTCCTTCATTGTGTTAACTCACTTTTTCCAGTTCAATAAAATTTTAAGGCAACCAGGTTACTTACTTTTTTAAGTTAAACCAACAATATTTTTTTACAGTGTATAGCGCTTTTCACAATACAAATTGTATCACTCAATACAGTTCATTATGCCCTTGTTGAGGTAAATTGTAGTTTTTCGGTCTAAAGATGACTGTGAAAAAAAGTTATATTTAATTAGATACATTGATGGTGAAACTACTACTTTTGCATTTATGGTGAAATTACATTTTGAGGTCAATCTGTGTTCATTTTGACCACGAACTGTGCGCTGTCACTTTAATTCAGCGTTTGCAGCACAGCAGAAATAGACTCCGCGCGGAAACGAACTCTGCACTGCTGTGTATGCGCACCGCAACTGGAACGGATCGACGGACTGCATAAGCGTGCAGTGTGAAAAGTTCGAAAAAAATAAGCACTGCGAACGGAATATGTGTGAAACAGCAATATTATGTCACAGTGTCTGGTTTGTGTTTCCCTGGTTCACCACTAGATGTCCTCTTACCCCACGGTGTTAGTCACATTAGAAACTGCATTTCCCACAATCCTTGTCTGCTCTCATCACAGTTCATTGCACCCAGCTGTCCAACAATGTAAAATCAAAAAATTACTTAAGTTGGACAGTGACTCTCTTCTAGAGCAGCTGGACAGCCAAAACAATTTTCATTGCATTAATTTCCTACTATCACTGTAAAGCTCCTTTGAAACAATCTGCATTGTATAACTTGACTTAACGTGACTTAACTTGATTTTCGCATGTCACTTTTGTTTTGCTTCTGCAAACAAAAACAAAAAGGAACATCTTGCCGAAACCAGCCTAAGCTGGTGGTAATTTGTTTCCCAGCCTGGGTCCAGTTGCATAAACCACTAAGACTAGTCTATCAAGATCTATCAAAAAAAAAAAAAAAAAAAATCGTTAAGACTGTTGATAACTAGTAACATAGAAGTGTAGATTTGCCTAATTTGATACCGCAAAGTCTGACTGCACCTTGACTAACTTCTAGTGGGTCACTAGATCTAAAGAAACTGTTTTAACATAATGGCTGTATATATGCAACTGGGCTGGTCACAAACTTAACATTTCAGTATAAAACCACCGGGTTACATATTAGGCTGTAATGTTATTAAAAATATTGAGTTATTTTTAGTCGCTGGTCTCACAGCAACGTTTTAAATTGTAACCGCTCGGTCGTCTGTAGTCAAGATTTACTCTTTTATTTTATCTTTTATCTTCTCATTTATTTTTACATGTTGGAGAAGGGAAGCATGTGATTACTAAAGCCCAGCCACACTGAATGATTTAGGTTGTGCCAGAGTTCATTTACGCCCACTGGGGTCACAGAGCCTTTATGAGAAGCAGGTCACCACTAAAGGTCAATCGATTGATTACAGAGTGCAGTATAGGCTCTTAGTGATGGAAATGCTTGCCAATTTTATCATTAAAGAATGGGTTTTGGTACTCTTTAAAATGAAATAGTGACTAGACACATGAATTTTATACAACTAACACGACCAGAACTGCTAACCACGAACAAAGATGGCAGTATTCAAAGCACCAGTCAATCCGAAGGTTGATGAAAACAATAAACTTTTACAGATATTACAGACCTAAAACAGCCTTATCAGTAGATTGATGCCCACGTGTTTTAATTACATCTGCTTTTGAATTAGTGAATACAATACAGTACAATACAATTTTATTTGTATAGCACATTGAAAACAACTGACATTGACCAAAGTGCTTAACAAAGCAGCATGCACAAGACAAACAGGTACACTTCAGAGAGAAAAGTGAAAAAAGGTGCGTTTTCAGAAAAGTTTTAAAAAATGTCAGAGTTTGGGCAGATCTGATATTTGAGGGTAGGCTATTCCATAATTTGGGTCCATAAGCTGTGAAAGCACAGTCACCCCGTTTTTTTTATTCCCCTGAATGTGATTGGAAGGTTTTATATTTCATTTGTTTTTGACAGCATTCAGCATAAACAAAAAGCCTTCAACATAACTTCACCATCTGCATGCTGATGGGGTTTTGAACTATTTCATGCATTTCTAAAAGCATGAAAAAAATGCTGTATTGGATATAAACACGTCTACGGTGCTTTAAAAACTATTCAGTTCCTAAAAACGGACAAATCACTTAAAAAATGCAAGTTCTGTCATCATCAGTGCTGGACAGGAATTGATTCCATGTAATCTAGATTACGTAATCAGATTACAAAAATGAACTACTTGTAATCATATAAAATTTTCTCACAATCAGACTTTTCTAATGATGATTATGTTATTCTCACAATGTTCAAAGTGTATTGATTCTCACATACTACTATATTTTTTATCTTGTTAATGTTTCTTTCAATAAAAGTCTATTGCTTATGCATTCAGAAGGTCTTTATTGTTTGCACAGACAGACCAGCCTCTAGTCATGTGCCGATCACTGAAAACTGAGATGCACACAGCATTTGATCTCTGGATTTACAGAAATCCTTTCACTTTTAAGAAGTGTTTTCTCAGTCAGCTCCTGAAAAACACATAAATCACAACTTGAATTATTACTCGGTGAGTCATTTAACCACATATTACTGTCTTTGGAAGGCTTTTGTCTTTCAAACACATTAAAATGTGCAAATTCACGTTGTTATATATAATTATATACAATGCATGGGTTCCCTAACTTTTTTGGTGTTTTTTTCTGGAGTAAGCCCTTAGATTTTAAATTAAGTTAGATAATTAAAAAAAAAAGTTCACAGTTCTCTGATGTCAGAAGATATGCAGATGAACAAATATTTGTTGACTATAGTGATTTATTTTTCATTAGGATATTTTTGGTGCCCCCTCAGCACTTGGTGCCCTATGCACAGCGCGTGATGCGTGAGTTGGGACCGGTGGCACTGATCGTGACTACCACAAACAAACCTTCTAATGTCACATGTTAGATTTGTGACCAGAAGACTGAATGGCCTTGAGAATGCTTGCCCCCAAGACAGATGGCGATCTACTGCTTCTGCAAAACCTTTAGCAGATACACAGGATTCAGTGCATATAATGCGTGAAAGAACCGTGACAAATAAAGCTGTTTCAATTCTAATAAAGACTCAAGGGACTGTGGTCTTGTTCTTGTCTTGTTCTGGAAGTGCCATTTTGCATTGTTCTGCATTGTGCCAAATATGAAGGTTACATTGCAACTCCTCGTATGACGGCTTAATTTGAGTAAATTCTTGACTTTGCATTAGCAGGGGGCACTGTTTCTGTCTGTTGAAATAGTCAGTAGATGTAGAAGATATTTAGATGTATATATATATATAAATTACTCTTTCATGTAAATCATTTAAATAGAAAAATTAATAAATGGATTCTAATTCTAAATCTTAATATTTGTTATCATCAAAATAAAAATACTTAAACATGTTAATTTAAATAAAAAAACTCAGAACATTTCAACTTCTAATCAAACAGACTTGTGAAAAATAAGTATAGCTCCATATTTTCATATGCACCTGTGGTGCTTTCAACATTGTCTGACATGCCAACTTCTAGCTCTGTAAATGATGCGAGTTTGCTCATGCCACCTTTAACTATACTCACAAAAATATCCCGATTCTAAGGACAAAAGATAAAGCTCGTCATCAGAATCTTGAAACATGCTTTTTATTCAGGTGTTTTTAAGGTAAAACATTCAGTATTGAGATTGATCTTTGATGTCCTTGTCCTGAATATTAAAGAATGAAAACTACCGAATTTGAAGTCACCGCAGCATCTCTACTCGTATTAGCATATAAACAGAAAGAACCAAATTAACTTTAAAACAGCCCTGGAAAAACAAAGCTTCTGTAATGGATTACTGCCATGCACATTGACAAAAAAAGTTATTCATGAACCAGCTGGGAAGTGATTCTCATTACAGTCTGAAAAAAAGAGGGAGAGAAAGGATGGATGAAAGAGTAATAGAGATGTAGAATTGTTTGGTGGATGAAAAGGTCTTGTGAAGTGTTTGTACATGTGGACAGTCGCCCCCTTTCCATCTTTTCAGTGTACTGAATGGACATTGTTCATTGCTTTGTTTTAATGAATCACTGTGACAGAGTCGTTCTCAATTGTGCAAATCACTGATCTGGCTGAGGATGGAGCGATCCGATACTCAGTATCGGTATCGGCTCCAATACTGCCATTTTTGCCGGGGTTACTGGGGATCATGTTAACTGGGGACGCAGACAGTTTTACCTGAGTTTCCAGAAGATGTTAACAGCAACAGATTCATGCCCTATTTTACGGATCACCATATCACCAGTTGTATACACGGTATGCGAATAAACAGTCCCTCCAGGATTTCAAGATTTTTTTTGTGTGATTTTTGCGATCAAAATGACAATTTCAAAATTTCAAAAATGAAATTTTTTTAGATTTACATATAACATTTACCATAATAGTATAAAAGCGCTTTGTTTTTGCAGTGCATGATATT